TTCTCATAGAGAAAAACAGCTAAGACCTGGACTTCCTAATACGGGTGGGATGATGACTACAGAATGATGCACAACTTCACAGATCCATACTTCAGTCCAGTATTTAATAATTAAACAAAATAATTAATGACAGTTAATTCTGAACAGTAGTGCACCTTATCCTGGCAAAAGAGATGTGGTAACTAAGTAACAATAACAAGGAAATATTACAGGTTTCCCTGAAATGAAAGCTCTGGATGGGCCGTAGCAGTCCTAGGCCCCCACTTTAAAGCCAAGACCCCCGTGTATTTCAAGAAAAAAAACAGAAAACGTGACTTTTCTCCACTGTAATAGATGCTGGCAGTGCTCCCATCAGTTTGTCCCCAATTTTAATACCAATTTTTGGTAGTTTTAATGCGGCTGCATGATTTTTTTTCTTCTACGTCAACTTGTAAACAGAGCATTCGGCCTAGCAAAGTTCAATACTGCGGGAAAAAAGATGATGAGAACATCCCAATCTTCAACGACTCACCCTAGACCTCTACGCCTAGTGCTGTGAGCCGTAGGCCTCTGGTTAATCAGCTTTTCCCTGCTATGGTATGCGGTCAGTTGTTGTAGTGACAAAGCAGTGTAATGTGAGGCGAGCAATCTCTGTTTATGGTAATGGGTGGGTCATTTTCTGTTGGCTTAGCTACAGTGAAGTTGGCAAGTTAGTGGTGTCTCTGGGACACAAGGCTTGCTAGTTGACCCCCCAACCTGTAACCAGTAACTCCCACTCTCACCCCCCACCAAAAAGAAATATGCCTCTGATAAAAAGTAGTGGGAACCAGTAATAAGCAGACTTTGAAAGTCATATATTTTGAGTAGCGATGTGCATCAAGTACATTTGCTCCAAATGACGGCAGAGCTGCTGTTCCACACACACAGACGAGCGCTGGCTGCTGCTAATGGACGGGAGCAGCAGATAAAGAGGCTTTTGTGTCTCAGCATATTGCTGCGCGGCGCAGCAGGCTTCATTTGTTCCAATTAGAGTCGTGTTCTCCTAGGCCCTGCGGAGGAGAGCAGTCGCTACGCTAATTGTTTTTCTCTCTCGGGCGGAGAGGGAGGTCACTGTCAATCAAGCGCTGCACAGCCCAGTGAAGCGCTTTGGCTTTGCCCCTCGCGTTTCTGTTCATAAGGGGCCCCTGCAATTAACATCTTGCTGTAGCGCTTCATGTTATAAGGGGCCCCAAACAGTTCTTCAGCAGCGTCTGCTTATCTGTTAGCTTCTGCTTCTTTTGCTGCGTCACTGAAGAAGAATGCAGCCTTGTTAGGATTTAGTAGGGAGTTGGTCTGGACGTTGAGCTGTCCAGTTCTCACAGAGATACTGATCTTCACTGTTGGTTGATTCTTCTGGAATAATTCAGCCCCCACATTCTCAGTGAATGGTTCTATATCCTCCATGCACAGTTATAATTGCAAGGTTTTGGCATTTAAGTGAGTTGAAGTCTGTACCAAGAAACAGAGCAGATGTTTGACTTATGATCTTTCAGCGCTGCAGCATAAAAAGATATCCAAGATATCTTAACGACATCATCGCTCGTTAAAGGTTTACAGAAAACAAAGCAAAAGGAAGTAAACATGGTTCGTTAGTTAGCTAGTTAGTTGATCTAGGTATCTAGGTAGATCTTGATCTTGTTCCTTCACTGAAAAATGTACATAATGGAGGTCCCATGCTTCTTCTTTCCTGGCCAGTTCAGGCATCTGTTAGCTGACCTAACAGAATTAACAGTTAGTGTTCTCCTCCAAGCGTGTTGAGCTTTCCAGTGGCATTGTGTTAACAGCCATTTGAAGATGTGGTGGAGCTTCATGTGTCTCGGAGGAAGTTCATACTAGTCTTTACCCTCCCAGCTTGGTATGATCATGTGATAGTTACCAAGTGGGAAACCAAGAAGAACAACTGTGTATAAATCATTGGTTACAGCATAAAAGTTGCTTTTAGAACAGTAGAGAATTATTTACCACTGACCACTGAAACCACCATCTCCTTCTCCACGTAAGTCAGAAGTCAACAAGTTGGAAATAACCATTGTTCCCACTTAAAATTCACATTTTCCTGTCCAACCTTTAGTTTGGGACCTGAATGAAGGTATCACTGTGCAAATGTCAGAGACTTCCTTTCATTTAGGTCATTTCCAGTCAAAATGGCCATAAATTTTATGTGTTTTAGAAGATACATGGCAAAAAATATATCTTGTCAAGTAAAATTAGCTTAAATCTAGTTGATATATCCAATATCCCCCCTGTTAAGATTGTTGTAAGCTTATTTTAAGATTATTTAACTTAAACTTTTTTTTTTTTACAGTTTTAAGTAATTTTATTAAGTAAATTTATCTATATTGGCAGATAAATTTGCTTGTTTTAGGAGAATTCTGCCAGTAAAGTGAGTTCATTTTACTTAATAAAATTACTCAAAACAAGTAAAAAATGTCCAGAAATAATCTTCTAATAAGTGCATAACCGTGTCAAAATAAGAAATATTAGATATGTCAACTAGAATTGGGATCATTTTACCTGACAGGATACTATTTTTTGCAGTGAACTAATGAAGAGAACAGATAACGATAACCTCCATGCTAACAGATAATCTAACCATGACCTGGTACACAACAAAACTGCCCCCATCAGATAAACAGCACTTAAAGCTTTCATCTTTGAGAGAGAGGAGAAAATCAAGCTGCTTCAGATCTGAAAACATCCACAGGTGTTTCTGTCCATCCTTCCACTGTGAGAAGACGACTCAGCGCTATGGGTCTGAAAGGATGTGTAGCTGTTCAAGAAGAACCTCACTGAGAAAAGGAGACGGACACAAAAGAAGAACATTTGTACTACAACACCAGAACTGGACATCTGAGATGTGGAGTGAGGGTTTATGGACTGATGAGTCTTTGTAAATGGGGTTATTTGGATTCTGAGAAATAGAAAATGCAGCCAGCCTTTAAGACTGAGTGGGTAATTCTCTATTAAATATGGTTTTTGTTTTTTTTGAGGGGTCTCTAACTTCTGCACAGTGCTGTATTTATTGAAATATGAACATATCATGATCTGTGGTTGTGTTACTGGCTCTGAGTCTCCTCTCTGTCCCACTCTGATGGTGGTGAGTTCAGCCAAATTGACAGTGGTGCTATAAAACTGGGAGCTGTATCTGTTTTTATTGTATGTGTTTGTGTGGTGGGCGCAATCACCATTATACACACGATTGTGTTTTGTTTGGCCCGGCGGACAGGGTGGTCTTGCATTATCTAAGGAAGGAAGCGGGGGGTTGGAGGAGGTGGGCTTGTGGTTGCCATGGCAGCGTACCTGTGTGACCTCATGCTTGGCTTGTTGTGAGCAGAAGCAGAAGCATTCGATTAGCAGCACGCTGACCTCACCGCCAGATATCGCCGTGGAAACACTGATCTGCTCCTGTAAAATCAGGGCCCCCGAGACTGGCCAAAAACAGGCCTATAAACGCACACGGAGCCCACCAGCCAGTCAGACATTCGCACATCCACAGCCTGGCTTCTCCGGCTCTCTCACGCACACGCGACCCGACAGATGTGTTACTTGTCATCTGGATCAGCTGATCGGCTGACCGGTCCCTCCGTCCTGGACGATCAGAGCGCGTTTTTCTGCCCAAGTTCTTTTTTTTTAATTGCTCATTTTTTTTCTCCGTAGGTCACTTCCTTTTGGTCCGTTTTCCTCGTAAAAACTTTTAACATGTTTCCTTTCGCGATGACATCACCCCCTGGCCCGAGTGATGATGTCATCCAGCTATCTTGGACTGGCTGGTAACATTTTGTCATGCGCCGCGCTGCTGTCCAAAAAAACAGACGTAATCTTTTTGACTCTGAACCAGTGGCTGAAAGGCTGTACGCAACACGTCTGCTCTGTCTTTCGGTAAAGCCACTTAAACGCAGCCCTTGCATCTACTTTAACACGGAAAAACAAATGATATACATGTGTTTATGTCAGTGCGTGAAATCACAGCTTGGACCCGTCTTAGTAATGGTAAGCAGACACGTATGATGTCACAGGGTTATGTATAATACAACTAAGCAGTCAGTAACACTTCACTTTATGACATCTACTTTAGCGTTTATAGCTACAAAGTTGTTTTAACTTATTACATTACCCAGTGTCAGAAAAAGATACACCTGGCACACAAGTATGTGGACACCCCTTTTAATTATTGAGTTTCGGTGTTTCAGTCACACACATTGCTAACAGGTGGATAAAATTAAGCACATTGCCATGCAACCTCCATAGACAAACAGTTGTAGTAGAAAAGGATCATACTGGAGAGCTCATTGACTTTAAACGAGGCACTGCCAAACGTCAGTTCGTGAATTTCTGCCCTGCTAGATCTGCCCTGGTAAGTGCTATTATTGTGAAATCTATAAGAAACAATAGCTCAGCCATGACCACACAGTAGACCACGCAAATTTGGCAAGTGTAGCACATAAAAATCACATCCTTAGTTGCAGAGTTCTAAATTGCCTCCAGAAGCAACATCAGCACAAAAACTGTGTGTCGGGAGCTTCATGAAATTGGTTTTCATGGCCTAAGATCACTATGTGCAATGCCAAGTGTCGGCTGGAGGGGTGTAAAGCATACTACCACTAGACTCTAGAGCAGAGGAAGCGTGTTCTCTGGAATGATGAATCACACTTCCCTATCTGGAAGTCTGATGGACGAATCTGGATTTGAAGAACACTACCAGAATGCACAGTGCCAGCAGTTTGATGGGGGAGAGATAATGGTCCGGGTCTGTTTTACAGGGAATTGACTCGGCTCCTTAGTTCCAGTGAAGGAGGAGTGGGGGGGTCAACTCTATATTAAGCCTGCGGTTTTAGAATGGGAGCTCTTATAGGTGTGATGATCAGGTGTCCACATACTTGTGGCCATATAGAGTAGCTTTACCAATGCCACCCTTCAGTCAAGTGTTACCACTAAAGCAAATAACACAGTATTCTCAACATGTGTCTATTGTGTCTTTTCAGACCGAAGCCCTGAAGAAAGCTTTGACGGATCTGGACCTGAACATTGTAGAGATGACGGATGAATCGGCTACGCTGGATGGAGGAGACGTCCTGTTCACAGGTACTGACAGCCAATCAGAAGTTTCTTAGTAGCTGAAAATGGTTTGATACAGGTGTGCAGTGATTAAGGCTAGCAGTTTGTACAATGCCAATCAGTGAGCTGTACATTTCTGTTACTTTTAGCTACAGTAGCCTTGTTGCTCCAGCACAAAACTAAAGAAGCAAACTTCAGACACAGAATATGACTTGGCTGATCAACTACATTTTGGGTCAGAGGGGAAAATTGCATGAATTTGATGAACTATTTATTTCATAGGGACCATTATGCCTAAAAGCTAGTCAGCTAATATACTCTCCACTGTGTAGACACCTTTACCCAGCCAGATATTAAACTGACATGTGCCTGCATAACAATTAACCAACTTAAAAGCTTAAATTCAATAAAAACAAAACTGATTGAATGTTTATAGACACATCAGGGCTGCTGGAACCACGGGGGTGAGCGGGCAATTGACCCACCACTTTTCACGGTGCTGGGGCGACGACCCACCACTGTTCTATTGAGTTCAGGATGCTTATGCTTAGTGCTGACCTTTAGACACTTAACAAAAAAGGGCCAAGAACCAGTTGAAATCTCCATTTCAGCTGGAGATAAAATGGAGTGAAGCCATCGTGAGTTTGTGTTCAGTAAGAGGAGCTGCAGCTCACTAATCCTTACTAACCCATGAACTGATTCACTCAGTCATGGTTTATGTTCCTGCACTATGTGAACTTACTGTGAAGTCACTTTGCATATTTCTTAACTGAGGCCGCTTTCACATCTGCCTTGTTTGGTGCAAGCCTCATTGCTCAAATCCAATGTTTTGCTCAAATCCGATCTGTCTGTCTGATGGTTCACACTCGTTTAGGTAAGTGACTCAGATCTGTCATTAATGTGAACGAACCGGCGTCCTGAAATGACCCGCATGCGCACATCCTAATCACGTTCATCATCAACACAAACTAACGAGCAGAACGAGCTTCGCTGAGAAGATAATTAACTCTGATCAGCTCTCAGCTTCATTATTAGAGCGAGACGAAGGAGAAAAAGGTGAGATGTGTTTCTTTTCCACAGTTTACAGGCTTTAACTTCTGTTCGGCGCCGCTGCCATGGTAACGCTGAACGACGGCGCACGCGCAGTGGAAAACAAGCACATGAATTCCGATCTGAGCGTCACATTAAGGTCGCATGGCCACGAATCAGATACATATCCGATCTAGGACCACATATGAAACTGGCTCAGGTCAGATTTGAAAAGATCAGATTTGTGTCCACACAGCTCTGAAAACATCAGATCTGAGTCACATTAGGACAAAACATCAGATCTGTGCCTCTTCAGCCTGGTAATGTGAACGTAGCCTATCAAACTTTTTCCATAGTTTGGTCTGTTGTGACGTGCGAACACTCCACCTGTAATCAGGTCCGCACAAAACAACTGTGCGTGACTCTCGCTTCTGGTGAACGCTGCTCCAGTTCGCTGCTGGTGGGGACGCGTTTTTCACAGTGGTCCGAGTCAAATGAGAGAGTTCAACCCCAGTACATGCTTTTCTCAGTGCACATCAGCCCTGTACTGTTTGCGTAATCTGCCTGTTTAACATATTTCTTTTTACTGACGCTCGTATCGTTCCCGCAGCATGAGCTGCTGTTAATAACAAAAGAGCAATAAAAAATACAGAAGAAATGCCTTTGATTTCTTGGACTGCAAATGGGTGGATTTTTGGCCAAGCATCAGCTGCTCTGATTGTGATAAACGTGGATGTTAAACATCTCTGTTTTCTGTTTTCATGGTGGTGAATGTGAGAGGAACAGAGTGCTCGCATCTCTGGGAATCGTCTGATGACCAATAAACGAACACACTCGTGTATAATGTGATGCACTTCAGCCTCGCAGTGTAAAAGCAAGCAATATCACAAAAACCCAAAGTCTGCTTCGGACATTGTGTTTGAACTGCATATGAAAACAGCCGGATGTTCCTCAGAGATGACTTTTCTAGGTGTGGCGCCACCGCTGAGACACAGTAAGCTTCTTTTTATATTGAATTACAGCGTCATTGAGGACTTTCCTTTGAAAACTCTCCCCAGGTTATGACCCAGGCCTATTGTGTCAGTAAAATAGGCCTGTTCAGTGAATCAGCATAACTGCTCTTGAATGCTTACTTACGAAACACTGTCTGAATAGTCTAAGGACCTGGTGTCCTAAACCTTAATGCTGGTTTATAGTTTAAAGCCTTCTGGCATGTAATTTGCTGGATCAGCAAATACCGCTCTGCAGTGTTGTAGACGTTCAGCTTGTACTCTGTGTAATAGCAGAGAGACTCGTGAGAACACTAGAGTGGCTCTACAGCAGTGATACGTCTGCTTTTGGACAGAGTTTTATCCTGCAGCATTTTCAGTGTGAGTCGTTTACTTTCATTGATGGCTTTAAACTATAAACTACAGCCTCCTGTCTGGTGTATTATGGGATATAGGCCTAGTTCTACACCTATCAGGAAGCTCTACTGACTAATTTAGTCCAGCACTAGACTTTAAAAGTGTCCTGCACTCTTACAAATAAAGGTTCTTAAGTGGTTCTTGGCATGAATGTACATTACATAGGTGTTCTCGAAACTTTAAAAAAGGTTCTTCATGCTCACAAACCATTTGTAGAATTGATTCTTTAAAGAAACAATGGAAGGTACCAAGTGCGGTTCTTTTATGGCACATTTATTTTTGAGAGCTTATTCACTAAATCGGTCCTATATGTTCATTGCAGCTCCTGAATGTTACTATTTTGTGAAATCAAAACATGAGGTTAACATATAGAATGATGTCCAAGGGTTTTGGACTTCAAGTCATCTTATTTAGGATAATTTCTAAATAATAATTCAGTGAAAAATCAAATGTATGCATTTTTCCTCTTACCTCAAATGAAGTCGAATGTTGTCCAATGTGTGCTTTTTTCAGTTTTTCGCTGGAGCTATGAAGCTAAAGTAGCTAATCAGCAATGGAAGCTTATACCCCACCCGATTGGCACTGTATAAACTGCACAGATAGAGGGATATATGTGTGTGTGTATATATATATATATATATATATATATATGATATAGTATATATATATATACACATTGAGAGAGAGAGACAGAGAGAGAGAGAGAAGGAGAGATAAATAGATAGATAGAACTTTACTGATCCTGGAGGAAAATTGCATTGTTACAGTAGCAAGACATATAAATGCACATAAACTTACATATATTAGGCAGAAATAGTAAAATAGACATAAATTAAACTATGAAGGAGTAGGAATAAAAGTATATCTATAGCGTATTTATATAGCATATAAGACAGATTTGTTGTATTTACATGAAAGAAGTGGTATGAAGTAGTTATACACAATGAATATCAGCATAACTATGAATATCAGCAGTGTTTACAGTCTAAAGTGCAGTGAAAGTGACATTACAGCAGCAAGTTATGATGTATTGCACAGTGTGTATTAACAAGAGAGGAGATACAGTGATGTGGTTCAGCACAGTTCAGACAGCAGGAGATCAGTACCCTAAATCATCACACATACGCTGTATCACGTTGTTAAGTAATGTGAAAATAGACCTGCTTCAGTGGTTTCTGTCACTGTATGACATGCTGTTTTCTATAAACATGAGCAAAAGTGCACTAGCATAGTTAAAAATAGTGCTAGCGGACGTCTTTAGACCTACATTTTGTCTGTGTTTTTGTCTAGATTAGTGCAAATTTGTACATTCGAATTGTTGCCGAATGATCACTTTCATTGTTTAGTTACATTTCAGTCCCTGTGTAGATCTAAATATTCTTGAATTTGGCAGTTTTTTCAAATCCCTCCATAAGTAAACGGTTAAGATGTAAAGGCATTCAGAGTGGTTTGGTGTGAAATGCTCTGTTCTAGAGAAACTTGCAGTCAGAACCAGATGTCCACCTCTAAAAGCTCCCTCACAGAAAGTCATTACATGAAATTGTTCTTGTGCCTGAAGTACTGTTTTATGATAATTTTGAGAAGAGAGTTTGGCCTGAAACACATTTGAAACCTGTTCATGGTGGAGGTGTACATGCAGGGTGCTGTAAGGCAAAAATAGTCCCCAAAGAAAACATTTTTTTTTTTTTGGTTTCTTACTATTTTACCATGACCAACATCATATATACAACTCAGAAGACGTGTAGGTTCACTGGTGGGTTTGGATAGTAAGTAAAATGGCTATATTTGTGTTGTAGTCATGGCGACCCCTGGTTCCTATCACCACCACTGTAAAGAAATCTGAGTCTATACAATCAACCATTTCACACCAAACCACTCTGATCTCACCCACTGTATTATGCAGCTAATACCCAGTGAACTAGAGTACAGAGCCAAGACAACACAAACTGCAGTGCAGTGCTGCAGTGCAATAGGCCTGTAGGCCAGTATGGGCTGCACTGGCTGTGGAAAGTAGGTGTAATAGTAAGTATTGAACTCAATGTTATTATCTTACAATGCCCACCACCTCATGCTCCTCAGCTTTCTGCTGAGTGAGAGCTCTGAGAAAGAGAAAAGGAGGACATTTTGTCCCTTTTCCTCCTTCTCTCTCTCTGTTTTCTCCCACTGTGTTTATAATTTACATCCAGCTCAGTTTGTTGCGTGTGTTAAATATGGGTCATTCGCTGTGTGGAGCTGGAAAAATGGCACGGAACACTTAATTGTGTTTGTAGACGCTTGGCTCGTGGCTTTCTGCAGCCTTTCAGGGTTCAGATGAGTTTCGCATGGCAGTGGGAGAAACACTTCCTCTTGGCTTTAGAAAGGCTAATATCTCATTTGTGAAGCATTTGGCAGTCATGCTACGCCTGCTGTATTGCGTCTTAAGGGCTGTTCTGAGGCTTTCGTTCTAATCCGGGGCCGGACTTCACCCGAAACGCAAAAATTAAACATCGTTAAAACACTTAAGCTGCTCTCAGATCAGTATACAAGCATGACTTCCACCAACACGCTAATGCTACATTTGGCCGTGCTAGCAGGCCCGAAGATCATTGATCACAGTGCAGACTGATGTCATTGCTTTCGTGCCCGGAGAAACGGAGATTACTGCTCAAACAGTGAGAAGGCATGCAAGCCTGCCCTTCGCAGCAAATGACCATAAAAACCCACCCCAACTCGCTTTGAATCAGTGATGGGGTGATGCAGGGTTGGGGTTGGTTGTCATGCTTTTCACTCTGGTTCTCTCAGAACCTGATAACAGACATCACAGACAGAAGAAAAGCTCAGGGTGTCTGTGCAGAGTGAGTGGAACCTTATGTAGCTGTGGCACTGATATGTTGGGATATTAGGTCTTGAATATGCGACAGTTTGTCATAAAGGCTGCTTTTGTCCATCTTGATGGTCATTCTTCCTCAGGCAGGGTTATGACAGCTGACACTCGATGGAATAAGCCTTTATAAATGTCTTTGTTGTCATGAAAGGCTTATATGCACAAGATAGTTCTTCAAAGGTTCTTTAGGAAAAGGTATGATTCTGTTGAGAACCAGTTCATGCTGAAACAGTTCTTTGCATGATGAAAGGGTTCTTCAGATTGAAGCAGAATGTGTTGTTTACAGTTCTCTATAGAAACCTTTTTTTTGGAAAATGGTTCTGCATAGCACCAAAAATGTTCTGCTATTGTTATAATGTCAAGTGTGTAACAATAAAAGAACCCTTTTTCTAAGTAGAACAGTTCTATAGCGAACCAGTTCTTGCTTAAATTGTTCTTTGCATGGTGAAATGGTTCTTCAGATTGATAGAGAATGTGTTGTACACAGTTCTCTATAGAACCTTTTTGAAAAGGATTCAATATAGAACCAAAAACAGTTCTGCTGTTGTTACAATGTCAAGCATGTAACAAGTAGAGTGGTTCTATATGAAACCAATTCAGGCTTAAATGGTTCTTTGCATGGTGAAATGGTTCTTCAGATTGTTGGAGAGTGTGTTATATATGATTGTGTAAAGATCCTTTTTGAAGATGGTTCTGTGTAGCACCAAAAACAGTAGAAACAGTTCTATGTAGAACTAATTCATGCTCAAATGGTTGAATTTGCTTAGTGAAGTTGTTTCTAAGATTGAAGGAGAATCTGTCGTATAGGGTTCTGTATAGAACCTTTTTGAAAATGGTTCTGTATAGCACCAAAAACATTCTGCTGTTATTACGATGTCAAGTGTGTAACAACAGAAGAACCCTTTTTCTAAGTAGAAGTGTTCTTTATAAAACCAATTAATGCTTAAGTGGTCCTTTGCATGGTGAAATGGTTCTTCAGATTGATGGAGAATGTGTTGTATATGGTTCTGTATAGAAACCTTTTGAAAATGGTTCCATGTAGCACCAAAAACAGTTCTGCTATTGTTACAATGTCAAGCGTATAACAATAGAAGAACCCTTTTTCTTTGCATGGTGAAATGGTTCTTCAGATTGATGGAGAAAATGTTTTTGAAAATGGTTTTGCGTAGCACCACAAACAGTTCTGCTGTCGTTCCGAGCTCAAAGGGGGTAGCAATGGAAGAGCCCTTTTTCTAGGTAGAGCCATTGCCTTTACTGAAGAACCCCTGAAGAAAAAGGGTTCTGCTATTGTTGTGATGTGAAGCGTGTAACAAAAAAGAACCATTTTTCAAAGGTGTCGTGTAGGACACCGTTCTTCAGTGTTATCCAGATAACGTAAGCCTGTCCTAAAGGAGAACAGTGACCTTTCTACTGACCTGTCCTCACTTTGTGTCTGAGTAATGCAGCTCCTCATCTTCTCCCATCCGTCTAGCCTCCTGTACATCTCCTGGCACACAGCGTATGAATGTGTGTTTCTCTCCGTAGGTAGAGAGTTCTTCGTGGGTTTATCCAAGAGGACCAATCGTAGAGGTGCAGAGATCCTGGCAGATGCATTTAAGGTGGGTATTTATTTAGATACAGCCTGTAGGGTTTGATATTCAGCCTTATTTAGGCTGTATTGTGTAAAGTTCTGTTATTTCAATACATGAAAATGTCTGTGTATCAGTACACAGTGTTTTTGCTACAGACTAGACTGTAACCTCTGTATTACCTTCAGATTTATTAGTAGGGTCATATTTAGGCATTCTGTGGCGCCAGGCTAACTCCATAATGAGGCCTCTACCACATTTCTGTCGACGCTCCAGCACATTCATACATCATTTAACGTTGATATACAGTACTGTGCAAAAGTCATAGACCATGCTTATTTATTTAAATTCCAGTCAAACCCATTAAGTACAGGTTATTTGTTTTCAGTGTCAGAAAAAAGCAGAAAATTTAACAGAAATCTACACAGAAGCTTAACGACTAAATATATGTGTTCAGTGAATCTCTCTTTACTTTTATTACAGCTCCTGTTCTTTTCAGGAGACTCGCTTTCAGTTCCTCAAAGAATCTGCAGACACACCTCCAAAGTTCAGTCTTAGAAGTTGATTGTATTTTCTGAAGTAATCAAACCCATACAGTGGTGTTGATGTCTGGACTTTGGGGTGGTCAGTCCATCGTTCAGCTTCTTTGTTTGATGTGTCCGTCTCCTTTTCTCAGTGAGGTTCTTCTTGACAGCTACACATCCTTTCAGACCCACAGCGCTGAGTCGTCTTCTCACAGTGGAAGGATGGACAGAAACACCTGTGGATGTTTTCAGATCTGAAGCAGCTTGATTTTCTCCTCCCTCTCAAAGATGAAAGCTTTAAGTGCTGTTTATCTGATGGGGGCAGTTTTGGGGTCTACCAGGTCTTCCAGGTGGTTGTTAGGAGGCCCATTTTAACTGTAGCTTTTAATCATTTTTTTGAACTCTAGTTCTTCTCCTGTTTTTCCCACTTATTTCCTGTACTTTGGTTGTTTTGACTTGTGAAATAAACGAAGGGTGGTTTATGACTACAGTACTGTATAATAAAACAGAATCACATAAACATTGTTTGCGTTTCAAGCTTAAATTTTCACTCATGACACCAACTTTAATATTCGTTGTTTGACTTTATCCAGATTTAAGGTCATTTTAAGTCAAACATATGCTAAGTCACTTGGTAGCTAGCTATGGCTGCTATTGTCATAAAGATGTTGGACGGAGTGCAAAAGAAAACTCACTGCAAAGTTTTTTCAGTTGTGCTTGCTACTCTTCCATTTGCAGTCATGCCCACATGGCCCCCTGGTGGCAGGGGTCCTGTGGCGCAGCCCAGGAAGACCCTAAATCAATATTTTCCAAGTTTCAGAAAAATGGTCTTCACTACAGTCGTCAGGATGCTGCTCTATGTCTCTGCTGGACGCCACGGATTAGCTGTTCATATGAAAATGTCTGGACATAAATGCCGGGCATTTTGCCTCGTTCTCCAGGGAAGACGAGGGCTCTTTTGCCCACATGATGATAAGCCTTAGTGGGGACATTTTTGCGCTATCTTCCCCCAGATCATCGTCATTTTGGAGCGTCTGGTCTGCAGATATGGAGGCCAGCCTGAGAGCAGCTTTGATTCCTGAATGAAAGACAGAAGGCCAGGCCAACGCCAGGGCATTCTTCGCTAATATGCTAATAACACAGATGACATTCAGTAAACGAGCAGGAAATGGATGTTTGTGCTCAAAAGTGCTTTGAAACGGTTCAGCTTCCTTATCACTGCATGTTTTATCCGTCATTAAGTTAATGTTTATGGAAACTTAGCGGCTTATTTGAGAAAAATGCCGTAGGAACATCAGAGCTGCAGAGCCCCAGCGGAGTATTAGCATGCTAAAAGGTCATTTGGTGCCAGTTGTTTCCTGTTTCAAACCATAATATATTTGTGAGTGAATTTAACAATAGCTCTCAGTGTGTGTGTGTGTGTGTGTGTGTACAGATCTCAGTACAGAGCAACCTGCGAGTTCACCTCTTAGAACGCACAGTTTCACAAAATAGAAGCCATCCAATAGGAGAGAGGACTGAATAGGACTATATGTGTGTCTTTCTGTTGCAGGACTATGCTGTGTCCACTGTGCCAGTACTGGGCGGTCTGCACCTTAAGAGTTTCTGCAGTATGGCAGGTCCAGGGCTTATCGCGATTGGCTCCAGCGAAGCGGCCCAGAAAGCCTTAAAGGTAAATAATCTTTGGGCAGAAAGCCGTGAAGCCTCAAACTCACCTGATGTCACTCGCCTAGCTGAATCATGCTTGAGTCAGATATTGGGAAATTTCTGTGAAGATCTACAGAATTTAAGATTATGTTCTAACAAAGCTTTTATAAACATATTTGCATGGAGTTCACTCACATCCTCAGGAGACACGTCCTTCACCAGTTCTCTTTTAATGCTCTTCACAATCCATGTTACTAAATGTTCTTCTGCACGTTGCGTGCTGTTACACATTTCCACCAGAGAGGGCTCCAAATCCCCAAAACTCAAATAGTGCAGCTTTTTAAATTCCAAGCCACAAGTGGGTGTGGCTTAAACCAATGTGTAAGTTGCTGGAAGTAATCTGAGAAAGTGCTGGTCTTAATATGCATATAGATCCTACTTTAGGCAGCCAGTAAGTCAGCTAGATTTTTGAACAAGAATGCTTATAGATACTGTTTAATAAACTGGGTTAAAGATGGCTTGAAGACTATTGGTAGTATTGTGATGACGTCAGGATCGCACTGCCACCATTTTTGGCAAGTGCATTCAGCAAAGCTGCAGTGGTTTGTAATGAGATGATAAAGCCGTAACCGATCCAGCGAAGGCAGTAAAACACTTATTTTTAAACACTTTTTACATTTTAAAGCACATTAACCAGTGTATTTGAGTGTATTGACTTGATGACAAACAAACACTAAAATGTAACTGGCTGATATTTCCCACTGTGTTATTATTTTCGCGTTCCAAACCGCACACTAGCTCACTAAATAGTATGCAGAAAACAGTGCGTGTACCATTAGAAGTGCACTCATTAGTGCAGTAGGTGCACTACAGCAGTGTTTGGTTTGGGACGCAGCGTTAGATCAGCCAGTGAGATGCAATCAGCAGCTCCAATGATTGATTATAGCTTCACTCTGTTGCACATTAATTGCTCAATAAACATATCCAAGTGAAAGTTTGAGGTATTTGTTGATTAAGGATCATTTATTGAGGTAAATTGGTGCATTTATTGAGGTTAGCCAATGTTAGCTTCGTATTCAAAATTTGTTCTACGTTTAAGGCACCTCAGTGTAATTGCAGTCCCATTTAAGGTGGAACGAAAATTCAAATGAGAAACTGGCGAATAAGAAGCTGACTTGAGCTGAATATTTATGTATTAGTTTATTATTTAAGAGCTCTGGTGGCCACTTTTATTAGTTTTTGTAAAATATCACAGAATGTTCTGAACTCTGGAGATGCGCAGTTTAAACAGATCCAGTCCAACAGTCGAGCTAATTGTCTCCTTGCTGTGTTTTCCGGAGGCGCATTTGAAGCATCTACACGACTTTAAATCTTTTTCTTGGTCATTCTGGTCTATTTTGCTTGCTTTTTATCCACCTGCAGGGCTGTAGCTGCAGTAAAAGTGATACGTCGAGCTCTATCAGAGCACAGTCAGCGTCACAGCCTGCCTACCAACATGGCGACGTGGTCTTCTTAATGATGTAATTGAATACTATGAATATGAAGGCTTGAAACTTGAAAGTTTTAACAACCAAACACAGTTTTCTGCATCTAAATTGATCAAATGTTTCAGTAAATTTGCACTGTTGCCAATTTTTAAAGTGATTCCTTGTTTTGCTTGTTCCTCTAAACACAGGAATGCTTACGAAGTATAATTTAGTGGCTCTATAACTAGCCTGGTATTTGGACCTGTGCTAATTGGGTACTGGAAGTTGATATCATAACAGTTTTTCAATACTCTGTGATATCAAAGCAAATAGTTTGAATCCATAAAAATGTCCAATTTCAGCACTGATCTCTAATATTAGTTGCCATCATTAATATGGATTTAGCCATGTTAGAGTACCAGCAGTAGCCGGTGCCACTGACCACAGCTTCACTACTAACACTGCAACCAGGACTGAGAATTCTGTACATTGTAACCAACACCAACACCTTGATACCGATGCCTGAACGACACTTTTTTGGATACCTTTTAAATTTCAAACCGAAAGTGGGAGGGGCTTAAACCAGAATGCTTTGACAGCAAACTACGAATGCTGATGAGAAATTTTTCAGTACTCAGTAATGTTGAGGTAATTTAACTGTAGTCCTGAATTTCAGTGTCCACCCTGAACCACCCCAGTGTTTACCTGCTACGGCCTCAGCGTCCTTCCCCAACACAGGCAGCGTTCCAATCAGGCCGTTTTTTCCCAAACGCGCTCCCTTGGGCAGCGGGCGGCTGGTTGTCATGGTGATGCTGTCGCTCCCCTGCAGGGCACCTCCTCACTTAAAGGGCATAGACTCTGAGGTGCCTGCTTTTATGATGCCATGGCATTCAAGCCGATTTGTCAGCGCACTAACGGCGAGGATTCTGTCCTCACGACAAAGGACTCCAGCGAACCTTCAGCACATTCCCACATACCGCAGCAGCGGATTGGGAGCGTCCCGAGAAACAACTAACCTGCCAGCGGCCTCTAATAGCTTCTGATAGCTGCATCCAAAAGACCTGATATTGTATAATCCTCAGCATTAGTGCGGTTCTGCTGAGCCCAGTTTGCATATAATGACTCTGGAGTGCTTTATTGAGGCTGTTCTACAGTGAATATTCTGTGTAATGATATTAGGTGAACTGTAATACTGATTTACTGAGTCTGCTGTATTTAATGTATGAATTAACTATGCTGTTTTTACACACAGTGTGCTGAGATCTGCAGCAGAGTTTGGGTTTTTGTGCACCCGTTTTGAGAATAGTGCACCTGTTTTGGGGTTAGTACCACCGTTAAAAGGAAACCGCACCTGTTTTGAGGATAATACACCCTTTTGGGGTATATTTTTATAAAGTTTGGTTGGTTTCACATTGTAAGCACACCAGATTATACAGGTGGGCATCTCTGTGTTCTTTGATTGGTCAGAAATTTGGCAGGAAAGAAAGCCCTCAATTCTTTTCACATTTGCCTGCATTAAACAACCAAATATTTTAGTTTTCACTTGCCTATCATCCAAATCTATCCCTCACATTTACAATTGTATGCAAAAGTTTGGGCACCCCTGATCAAATGACATGTTCTTGTCGACTTTCTAAGTGAAAATTAGCACATCCTTTACAGAGAACACACTTCAGCACATTTTAATGGTCAGTTGCTAATTTTGGTATTGGTTAATTTGCTGAATTTAACATTGGAAAAAAAACATAAAGTCTGCCCTGTGCAAAAAGTTATGGCACCTTTTATATTTGACATTGTTTTCCTGAAATTCTTTGGGCATGTCACTCGCCTAGCTGAATCACGCTTGAGTCAGATATTGGGAAATTCTGTGAAGTCTGAGAATTTGAGCATATGTTCTAACAAAGCTTTTATTAACATACTTGCATGGAGTTCACTCACATCCTCAGGAGACACGTCCGTCACCAAGAGTTCTCTTTTAATGCTCTTCACAATCCATGTCCAAATCCCCAAAGCTTACATAGTGCAGCTTTTACATTAGAAACCGCAAGTGGGTGTGACTTAAACCAAAGTGTGAGGTACTGAAAGCGAGTAATCGAAATGCGCTGGTGTTAATAATTTGCATATGGATTGTAATTTAGGCAGCCAATAAGCCATAAAATCTGGCCAGTGCAAAAAGTTATGGCACCTTTACTTTTGATAAAAGTAAAACTTACTTGATCTGTACTTCTTTTTTAGTTGAACTGCATGTCACTTTGAATTCAGCCAGTCAGGTCGCTGATGTGTGACCCAACTCAAAAACACTGTCTACATTCTGTGTGACAGAGTGAAATACTTTGCTGTTGCCTGCCCACTCTTATTGGCATCAGCTTGTGCTGCAAGAACGATATCAAGCGTGAAAATGGTTCACAGGTAGATTATGAGTGATGGTGTGCACTGAGAAAAGCATGCTCTGGTGCTGAATTCCCGTGTTTTAGTGCGGACCATCATAAAAATGCCTTCCCGCCAGCAGCGAATTGAACCACTTCACCTCTCTGTGCTCCACCCTCAAATGCATTCTTTCAGAGGTGCTGTTGAGAAGCTGGACAAGCTTTACAGGATACTGAGAAATTTCTCATTCCATGCTACATGCTACTAGCAGTGTAGGCTACTGTATTAGCTCAGTTAGCTGCCAGTGTTTAAACCACTGAAGCAGGAAAACTTTAAGCTTAGTCTAGTCAACAAAACTGCACGCAATCTGTTCAACCTTTTGTGCACATACAAAATACAACATAGGAAATAAATTTGATTTCATTAGAAATTTGATTTCATTCAACACGCTTGGAGGAGAACACTAACTGCTATTTATGTTACATCAGCTAACAGACGCCCGCCTTAAGCATCACTTAATTGAGCAATAAAATGTGTTCTCTGTAAAGTATGGCTTAACTTATTTTCACAAATCAACAAAACATGCCGGGCGGCACGGTGGCGCAGTGGGTAGCGCTGTCGCCTCACAGCAGGGTCATTTCTGTGTGGAGTTTGCATGTTCTCCCCGTGTCTGCGTGGGTTTCCTCTGGGTACTCCGGTTTCCTCCCACAGTCCAAAGACATGCAGTCAGGCCAATTGGACATGCTGAATTGCCCCTAGGTGTGAATGTGTATGTCTGTCTGCCCTGCAATGGACTGGCGACCTGTCCAGGGTGTATCCTGCCTTCAGCCCAATGACAGCTGGGATAGGCTCCAGCACCCCACCGCGACCCAGAAGGATAAGCGGTTTAGATGATGTATGTAAGTATGTATGTATGTAACAAAACATGCCTGTACCAGTCGCCCGACCCACTGTGAGAGAGGGTGGGAAGGTGGTGCCAGAGCCTCACATGCTGGCGAGAGCTGCGAGTGACAGAGAGAGGAGGACGTCAGCCGTGCGAGAGGGCGGGAGAATGACGACAGCCACGAGAGGCATGAAGTTGACGCATGCGTCCTGGGCCCTGCCTCTTGTTCCGAAGTGAGGGCGCCCGACTACACCTTACGTTTAACCCCGGTGGCTGAGATATGGAGTGGAGGCGGTGACGGGGAGGCGG